TGGAGACCCCTGCCCGGGTTCATACCTCTCCGCATTGACGCACCATGCCTCCTTTGCTGCAGGTGAGGACAGCCCAGAAGGATCTGCCCCCGGAGCGCCAGGCCTCGCAGCAGATGGTGGCCGAGGCGTATCAAAGCCAGGGGAACTCCGGCAACTACCTGCACCTGGCAGTGGGCGCTAGCCAGGTACAACCCGGGGACAACCTCCCCATCAACTTCCATCTCAAGAGCAACAGAGAGGACGTCCGCAGATCCGTTTCCTACTTCACCTACCTGGTGAGCGCGCACGACTTCTGCCACCCCCAACCCCATCCCAGGGATCGGGGTGCCCAGACCACCCACCCACTCGGCCTTTCCTTACCCACCGCAGATCCTGAGCAAGGGGCACATCGTCCACGTGGGACGGCAGCCAAGGGAAGGTGACCAGAGCCTGGTCACTATGTCACTTCCCGTGACGGCCAACCTCATCCCTTCCTTCCGTATCGTGGCCTACTACCATGTGAAACCAGGAGAGATCGTGGCTGATTCGGTCTGGGTCGACGTCAAGGACACCTGCATGGGCAGTGTGAGCATGTCCCCTCGTCTCTGGAGTTGGGGGAGGACCACTGGGGCATCGATTGGCCCTTGGGAGGGGTTCAGTTGGCTTTCAGAGAGGATCTTGTGGTGCTTCAGTGGCTCCTTTTGGGGCCTGGGGTTCCCTGGGGGACTGACGGTGTCCTTGGGCAGCTTGAGTGACCCAACAGGGAGCTTGCAGGTCCTTGGGGACTTGGATATCCCTTGAGGAACTGGAGTAGCCCAGTGGAGACTTGAGTGGCCCATTGGGGATTTGCGTGTCCAGCGGAGCTTGGACAGCCCTTGGGAAACTTGAGGATCCAATGGGAATCTTGGTTGGCCCGATGGGGGACTTGTAGGTTCTTGGAGGCTTGAGGAACTTGAGTGGCTAAATAGGCATTTTGGGTGGCCCAAAGGGTTTGGATTTGGGTGTCCTTTTTACTCGGAAATCCCTCGTGGAACTTGAATTGACCCAACGAGGGACTGGGGTGTCCCTGTGGTCTTGGGTGTCCTCGAGGACCTGGGAAGTCCTTGGGGAATTTGAATGGCCCAGTAGAAATTTGAGTGGCCCGATGGGCCTGGAGAACCTCAGGTGTTCTTTGAGAAGATTGGGTGTCTCGGAGGGCATCTTTTGGGCAACTGGGTGCTGCTGGGTGGCCTGAATGTCCCTGGGAAGGCGAAGTGTCTTTGAGGAGCCCATAGGATGTTTAGGTGGCCTTTGAGAGGAGCGGGTGGCCCACAATTGTTCGGATGCTCCACGGGGGGACCAGGTGGCTCATGCAGGTTTTGCTCCTCAAGAGAGGCTTGAATGCCTTCGAGGTTTCCTATGCAGAGCTTGAGCAGCCCATGGGTGCCTTGGGCATCTCATGAACGCTTCGCGTGGTCCGCGGGTGGCTCAGGTGGCCAACCTGGACACAGCTGTTGGTTGTCCAGGGGTCCAATGGCCTGCTGGGGCACAGATGGGGCACCTCCTAGGGCTGGTGGGGGCTTTTTGCGTTCCCCACAGCCCCAACCCCGCTGTGTCCCTGGCAGCTGGTGGTGAAGGGAGCATCGGAGGCCGACAATCGTGTGCACGAGCCGAGGACCCCCATGCGGCTGCGCATCGAGGGTGACCACAAAGCCCACGTGGGGCTGGTGGCCGTGGACAAGGCAGTCTATGTCCTCAACAAGAACAAACTCACCCAGAGTAAGGTGGGAGCTCCAGTTCCACCCTCTGCTGTCCCCGACGTCCCCCCAGAGGCAGGAGGATCTTTCGGGGTTGTCCCTCTGTTGGCCGCAGGTGTGGGACGCAGTGGAGAACAGTGACATCGGCTGCACCCCGGGCAGTGGGAGGAACCACGTGGGGGTCTTCGCCGACGCAGGCCTCAGCCTGGCTACAAATGTGAACATCGAAACGGAGCAGAGAGGTGGTGGGTGACACGATGGGATGGGGAACAGACACCAGAGGGGTGGGACGTGCCGAGCGTGGGGGCGCCGTGTCCCCAGAAGCGGAGTTGTGTCAGCATGGGGACGGAACCCACGGGTGACATCGTGGGGACGGGGGTGTGACACCTCAGGGGTGCAGGATGCGGCCCTGGGGTGTTTGGGGTGCGACGCCTGCCTTCTGTGGGAAGCGATACCTGGATCCTGACCGATGTCACCTTTGTCCCCAGAGGTCCAATGCGCGAAACCTGCAAAACGCAAGCGCCGCTCCGTGAAGCTCATCAAGCACAAGGGCACCAAGAGTAGGTGGCACTGGGAACACCAGCCTGTCTTGGGTCCTCAGGGACACCGCAGTGTCCCATCACCCGAGATGCTGGATTGTCCCACAAGGGACACCGGAGCACCCCGTATCCCCGATGGGGCCGCGAGGTCGGATGCCATCGGGGTGTTTTGGTGCTGGCAGTGGCCGAGTACAGCGACAGGAACCTGCGCAAGTGCTGCGAGGACGGCATGAAGGAAAACCTGATGGGCTACAGCTGTGAGAAACGGGCCACCTACATCCTCGATGGCACGGCCTGCACCGAAGCCTTCCTCAACTGCTGCCTGTACATCAAGGGCATCCGCGACGAGGAGCGCGATCTGCATTACGAGCTGGCTCGAAGCAAGTGCTGGGAGCAGTGGGGTGACAGCAGGGGGGGACGGATGGATGGGCAGAGCTTGAGAAATGCTTGGGGGGTGTTAAGTGAGGAGGGGGCGACGTTTGGGTGGTCAGTGCGTGAGTGATGCTCAGGCAAAAGCGGAGTGAAGCGTGAGCGAAGCTCATGTGAAGCTTGGGGGAAGCTTCAGTGAACTGCGGTCAATGCACATCTTGGGAGGTGTTTGGGAAATGGTTGGGTGATGCTGGGGCAAAGGCTGGGCAGCGATGGCCCAGCAGTTGGGAGACCTTGGGGCAAAGTTCAGCTGATCCTTGCAGAAAGGCAGGGTGATATTTGGGCAAGGATTTGGTGATGCTTCGGGGAAGCGACAGCGAAGTGTGACCAACGCACGAGTGATGCTTGCGCGTCCCTCGTGTCGGGTGAAGCTTACGAGGAACTTGGTTGATATTTAGGCAATGCCTAAGCAAAGACTGGGCGCCGCTTAGGTGAAAGTTGGGTTGTGCCAGGGATGATTCCGGAGGGTGGGATCCCATGGACACGGATGTGGTTGAGAGGGCTGTCGCCGTCCCCAGGTGAGGTGGATGATGCCTTCCTGGCTGACGAAGACATCACCTCGCGGAGCCTCTTCCCAGAGAGCTGGCTGTGGCAGGTGGAGGAGCTGACAGAACCGCCCAATGAACTGGGGTGAGCCCAACGTCCCGGTTCCAGTAGAGGTATCGCTCCAAGCCAGGCCTGAGGACAACCACCACCCCATATCTCTATGTGGGGATCCATGATCTCCTACCCAACAGGATCTGAACCCCCAACAAGCCCAAAGTGGGGACAAGCCATGACTCCTTCAGTCTATATGAGGTCAACAAATGGCACACTTGGCCTTGGGACCTACCGACTTCTTAGTCTAGCTCCAAGGCCACCTGCACCCCATGGTCCAGCTAGGGGACAAGCTGTAACCATCCTGGTCCAGTTTGGTGGCTGCTTACACCCCTCTGTCCAGATGTGGAGCCAATTCTAACCCCCCTGGTTGTTTGCATCCCCTCTAGCATCTCCACGAAGACGCTGCCCATATACCTGAAAGACTCCATCACCACCTGGGAGGTCCTGGCTGTCAGCCTCTCTGAGAAGAAGGGTACGTGATGGAGGAGGAAGAGGTTCCTGCGAACTGGATGACTCGCTCAGATCTTGGGGGTGGACTCTAGGACTTGAGGAGTCCCCAAAACTTGGAGGGGTGAACTTGGGGATGGAGGGGTCTCCAAAACGAGAGAGGGATTCGTAACTCTGGGGAGGTATTCCAAGCTCTGGGGATGTCTGTGGGACTTGAGGAGTCTCCAAAATCCTGAGGGGTTCTTGTGGAGTTTGAGGGGTCTCCAACATGGGAGAAGGATTCGTAACTCTGGAGAGGTATCCCAAACTTTGGAGACGTCTGTGGGACTTGAGGGGTCTCCAAAATCCTGAGGGGTTCTTTTGGAGTTTGAGGGGTCTCCAAAATGCGAGAAGGATTTGTAACTCTGGAGAGGTATCCCAAAATTTGGGGACGTCTGTGGGACTTGAGGGGTCTCCAAAATCCTGAGGGGTTCTTGTGGAGTTTGAGGGGTCTCCAACATGTGAGAAGGATTCGTAACTCTGGAGAGGTATCCCAAACTTTGGAGACGTCTGTGGGACTTGAGGGGTCAGGCGAACCTTGAAGGAACTTGGAGAGATTTCCCCAAGCCTCGGGGATGTCCCTGGGACCACGGGGGGCCAAATCAGCTCACAATCCCCAACCCACAGGGCTGTGCGTGGCCGACCCCTACGAGATAACGGTGATGAAGGAGTTCTTCATCGACCTGCGCCTGCCCTACTCGGCGGTGAGGAACGAGCAGGTGGAGGTCCGCGCCGTCCTCTACAACTACTGGAAGAGCAAGATCAAGGTCGGTGCCTCACTCCAGCGCTTGCAGGGGGATCCGTGGCCGCCTGAACCCAACGTCTCTCTGTATCCCCAGGTGCGCGTGGAGCTGATGTACAACCCGGCCCTGTGCAGCGCGTCCACCTCCAAGACGCGCTACCAGCAGATCTTGCAACTGGAGCCTCAGACGTCGCACGCCGTGCCCTTCGTCATCGTGCCCTTGCAGCTGGGGCAGCACGACGTCGAGGTGAAGGCGGCCGTCTGGGAGAGCTTTGTGTCTGATGGCGTCAAGAAGAAGCTCAGAGTGGTGGTGAGTAGCCCCTGCTGCCGCCTCAGCCCTCCGATGCCCCCCAGCTCCTCCCGGTCCTCCTGACGGCATCGTCGTCCACGCTTCATCCCGGTGTTGGTACCCAGAGATGAAGGATCCCCCATCTGTGCTCAGGAGTTGTCTCCTGAGATTCTCCACCCCTGGAGGTCTCCCAGTTTGTCCCGTGACCACGTGCTGGTCGATGCTGGAGCACTTTCTTAGCCAAACCTGGAGAGGTTGGGAAGGGGAAACGTCAAATCAGCTCAGTGCTGAGCGTGGGTCTCTCCCCTCTGCAGCCCGAAGGGATGAGGCTGGAGAAGACGGTGAAGATAGTTGAGCTTGACCCAAAGACGTTGGGAAACAGTGAGTGGCCCCGCTCCGGTCCTGTGGAGTCTCATCCCGTGGGTTGAGTGGGAGGAGAAGGGAAATAGGGAAAGACAACTGTGTGCGTGAAGTGCGGTGGATGCACCACCAAGGGCAAGATGGGAGCATACTGCAGGACGAGTAGTGTGTCACTGTGGGGCTGGAGGGCTGCCCTGTTGGCCTCTGGGGTGTCAGTGGAATCGGGGACATCCTACTGCGGAGTGGAGACATCTGAGGAAAAAGAACATCCTGGTATGGGTCTGGAGCATCGTGGGGGATAAGGGACCCCCTGCTGTGGATGTGGGGTGGGACTGGGTCATCTCAGGGAAGGGGGGGAGAAGGATTTGGGGCCACCCACCTCCATCCTGTCCTCTCCCTGCCCCACAGACGGCGTGCAGGAAGTGAAGGTGAAAGCAGCAAACCTCTCTGACATCGTCCCCAACACCGAGTCGGAGACCAAAGTCAGCATTCAAGGTGACAGCATGGGAGAGGGGACGGACGGGGCGGGCCTGGAGGGGACAAGACACTCCTCCTTGACATCATGTCCCTTCCCCTTGTTCCAGGCAACCCCATGTCCATCCTGGTGGAGAAAGCCATCGATGGGACCAAGCTGAAACACCTCATTGTGACCCCGTCGGGCTGCGGGGAGCAGAACATGATTGGGATGACACCCACTGTCATCGCTGTCCACTACCTGGACAGCACGATGCAATGGGAGACCTTCGGTATCCACCGCCGTGCGGAGGCCATCGAGTTGATCAAAAAGGGTGAGAGCATCCCGGAGAGGAAAAGAGGGATCTTCTAGGGTGCAAAATGAAAGTGCCTTCCGAGGGGCTAAAGGGCATCTGCATCTTAAGACGTAGAACCATGGGATGTTTGGGTGGGAAGGGTCCTTGAAGGTCACAGAATCAAAGAGTTGTAGGGGTTGGAAGGGGCCTCTGGAGATGATCGAGTCCAACCCCCCTGCCAAAGCAGGTTCCCATAGAACCTGTCATAGAACTGTAGAATGGGTTGAGTTGGAAGGGATCTTAAAGATCGTGGAATCTTGGAATCCTGAAATGATTTGGGGTTGGAAGGGGCCTTCGAGATCATAGAACCACGGAATGGGTTGAGTTGGAAGGGATCTTAAAGATCATGGAATCTTGGAATCCTGAAACGATTTGGGGTTGGAAGGGGCCTTCGAGATCATAGAACCACGGAATGGGTTGAATTGGAAGGGATCTTAAAGATCGTGGAATCTTGGAATCCTGAAACGATTTGGGGTTGGAAGGGGCCTTTGAGATCATAGAACCACGGAATGGTTCAACTCAATGGTTGAGTTGGAAGGGACCCGTCTTGTTCCAAACCATTCGCGTAGGTTGGGTGCCACCAGTTTGGGGATTTCAGATCTACTGGTTCGTGCTGGGATGGGCACCAGAAGGGGCCGGCGGCCTGAAGCCACCCCTAGGTGACCCACATGTTGGCCAACTGCCCTCTGCCCGCCAGGTTACACCCAACAGCTCGCGTTCCGCAAAGACGACGGCTCATTTGCTGCCTTCACTAACCGCCCATCCAGCACCTGGTGAGGGTCCCCATCCCACCACCGCCACCACGGGGGGTTTGGGTGACAGCGTCGGATGCGACGCCGAGTTCTCCCGTCCTCAGGTTGACGGCCTACGTGGCCAAGGTCTTCGCCATGGCCATCAACATGGTGGACATCAAGCCAGAGGTGGTCTGCGGAGCCATCAAATGGCTCATTCTGGAGAAGCA